AGCGACTTGAGTACAATGGGACATTATATCATGTCAAAGTACAGATCAACGTAGCGCGAAGTGTTAAACACCATCAGAGCCATGCTCTGGCCGGTTAAATGGCCCCATACATACTGAGGAAACTCCACGGAGCCCACCCTGATACTGGCAGTACCCGGCATTGGCAACGTTTGAATTAAAGATTTGCACAATTTAACAAGGTCTTATCAGAACAAAAGGTGACGGTTACTACCACGTGATCAGCTCGTGACAGCGATACCCAGCAGCCTGGTTATTTGAAATTTAAAACCTCGGGGAAGAGCAGTCGGTTTATAATTGAAAAACAAATGAGTTTCTGGTGGTCCGGGGAGTTATTAGTTATGAATTATAGGGTGGGTACTGGGTAGGCATAAGGTTCGTGATTCATTATCAAGAAGGTTTATTTGTTCGTATACACAGCAACGTAGATCTCGATAAACTGCAATTTAACATTATCATAAATCTGTCGCTCACTTGGCAGGGAGCTGTAGACGGCAATTTCAAAGTGTAAATTAAGCGTGGATTGTATCTAAAACTCGTATTAGATCCCAATATGGAGGTGAGATATTTGATACAGTTCAGTTAAGATTGTGGTCTTGCTCTTTTAAAGCTACACTGTTCGTTTCTAAAAGTCACACATAGGGTATAAAACCACTCCCACTAAATCGCTCGCCCAAATTTCAAGAAAATTCTTGTGAAAAGGCCCTTTGGGCATGAAAGTGATTCAAATCGGTGTATTTTTGGACGCTGATTCCGAATCACCCCCATGACGTAAGGTTGACATACGTTGCATGCCACTTTTCGCGCGCGAAGCGCGCGCCGCCGAAGGCGGAAAATATATAATATATACATAATATCTCTGATATTTGGATACGAAACATGTATCAAACGTAAGGTTAAAATGCTTCCCTGGAGAGTTATGGGCAAAAAACCGTTTTGGTCACGTGACAGGCTAGTAAAATACGAATTCGATTGTAATTACGGCTGCAAAACCATAAAAACCAAAGTCACGTGAAATTTTTGGGCGAGCGAATTAGTAAAAGCCGTATAAAATTACAACTACTTGCAGACTATAAGACAAAAGCTGTGTCGGTCTCATACCTACAGCTTCAACATACCTTATCGGACCTTATTTGGACAGACATTAAATGAACGGACATAATTATGAACGGACATTAATATGAACACTAGAAGGCATTCAAAACCATCAAAAATCCGAATTTTTTCATTTTTTTGATGTTTTTTATCTCAGCAAATGATTTTTAAATCCATTTTTATACAGTAAGTAAGAAAAGCAGTCGTTAAGCAATAAAAATGTTAAAATATGTGTACATGATCAGTGTCTAATAGGTATCACATATCATCTTCATCAAATGGGTTTTCGTGCATGAAATAGTCCATGCTTAAAGCATCAGTGATTTCTAGCTTTATGGAATCCTTTTTTTATCAACTACCTCGGTCCTGCATTTCAGTGTTAACTTTTACAAGCCATTCGGCGTGAAGTGGTTTTATCTTAGACAACTTAAGGTTAACCTTAACATCACGTGGAGCTTTCCTAGTACTGTTTCATTACTTCCCCTGAGTAATATGAACTATAACAACGTCGGACAATGTCCTACTCCTTGGCAACAGTAACACGATTTACCGTAATATCTAGGACTAGAGGCTGGAACAAGTTTGTCATGTTGGCGGGGACTAGCTCATGAACTATGTTGTTGAGTGCCATAATTTCGTTGACTTTTTCCGCAGAGTGACTCTTGAAAACATTATATACTTGTAAAGTTTTCTGTGCCTCCGGCAGACCAAGGAGAACCTTTCCGTCGTTAACTTACGGCACAATAAAGTTCTCATAGTTGTCATATTCTGGACAAAAATTTCGAAGTGGAAAAATTTTGAAAAAAATTCAACGGACTTTAACTTGGACGGACTTTATATTAAATGAACGGACTTTATTTGAACAGACATTAAGATGAACGTTAGGCCCTCCAAGTCCAGCGTTCAATTAATGTCCGTCCAAATAAGGTCCGATAAGGTAGGTAAGTTACGTTAATTGAATGATAGATAATAATTGGTATTTATTAGTTGGTTTTGGTAGGACTATGATTTTCGATAATCATAAATTGGGATATAAATTTCCTAGATCATAAATCAAGTTATGGAGTTGAAATCGTTAATTGATTGTATGTTATGTAAATGTTATGGCAATAATAATTTATCCACAATTTTCGCGCACCGATTAATCATTTAATTGATTACTAAATTGATAACAAAGTTAACGTTTGAATAAAAGAAATGTACCGTTACTCCGACACTATTGTTAAACTTAAAAGCCCGGCAAATTGGCAGCACTAGCAGCAAGGATATATCATATAACAATTTGCAATGCTACAATATTAATAGCTGTCGATTATATTTCACAAGCGAGCACTTCGCTTCCCAAGAGCTACAAGCGGGAAGGCTCTCCAGGACAGCCAATCACGTTATCATGATGCAGTCACGTGACACAGTACAACACCCACGTGCCCTTTAGCGCACGTGCGTGGATTTATCAGGTGATCAGAGCATTTACGCACGTACTGTTACCACAGTAACAACGTATTTAACCTTCCCAACAAGAACTAAATCACACGAGGAAGAAAGTCGTCCTTTCGTGCTGGAATCTGAGTGGTCCACAGATCTAATAAGAGGCTCTGATTGGTTGATATCCTCACAAGTGCTAACACTAACAAGTGGTGATCCGTAAGCTAAGCGGCCGTTATCCACGGAAATTGGGATGAGATTTTCAGTACGAGCGAAACTCAGCTGCTAGAACAAGTAGCAGTCACTGAACCGTTAGAGACAAGTTTAGCGGTGGAGACCAAACAACAAACCACTTATCAGCGAAAAGAGAACCATGACTGTAACGTCAGCATCTCACACACGTTGCCATAACAACAGTTATATTTCCAGCTATCTGGCTGGGACCAAATAACAAAGCTTGTCCCCCAAACGAGCTGGCTCCACAGCAGCATATGTTGTATTTATCTATCGGGGCTAGGTCTTTAGCATGCAAGGCGGGCTGGGACCACCGAGCAGTTCAAGGGCGTGGACAGGGTGTCCTGCTTGTAAACTCACTAAGTGGTTCAAACGAGAACAGGAGACTAGATGGTGTCAAGCTCTCCGCCGCGGACAACATCACACGTTTGTATGAACGTGTGCATGGGGTGGTGTTTTAGGAGGTAATTATCAGGGCCGGAGGGTTAATCAGGGCACAGGGTCAGTAACTCAGTTAGGGATTTAAATGAAACTTTGTTATTACTTTGTATTAGGGCCTGTGTTCAGAAGGTACATTGTTGAGGAGAAGAGGTGTTACTGTGACACCTATCAGAATCTTAAACTGAGTTTTGCAATTAACATGAACTGTAACGTAGGGGAAGTCTTCGATTTCAAAATTTATCAGGCTGCATAATATCAACGAAGCTGAAGGACCGGCTGAGGAATCATTTATCTTATGATAGTCAATCTGATATGTCAATGTGATCGATGGAATCAGGAATATTGAAAATTTAGTGTCGGGCGAAACTTCAAGTTCAACTTTGAACTTCAAACCACAAAAAGCGAAAGTTATTATAAAATTTAAATCAGAAGTATATTCGTAAATAATAAGATAACAGTAATGGCTGGTGCTGGTAGTGGTAGTAGAACTAGGGTATAGGTCGCTGGTAGCATCTTGGTAGAGCTGATAGTGATTAGTGATACACATACTGGACCACCCAGTATCACATTGACGGACTCTTTAATAATATATGTTATACTTATAGTCGTGTGTCGACGTAAAGCTGGAAAGCTCGACGTTGAACTTGAAGATTCTTTATATCATACTCATACAAATTTAATAAAAATGTCAAAAGCAGTTACGGCGTCAAGTACCAAATAAAAGAAGTGTCAGAAGTGACGTCATACCGGCTAGTATTATATAAGTAAGGAAATTTTTTACTCTCCATAAAAGCTCAATATTTTAAGCGGATTCTTAAATGACGTAGAAATCAATATAATATATTTCTGACCTCCCTGCAAACAGACACATTATATTTATACTTATTGAACCACGAAATAAACCAAAACTACCGTTTACCGGGATCTACTCAGGGAAATTGAATTACCTTACGAGACATATTTAATTTTAAAAGGTACGATAGTCGGTGGTTTTCCGAAAAAGACACCAATATATTTTCGGACTACCAAAATTTAGGTCACCATCATTGTTTTCCCTAAATTATTTTTCACGTATTTTCTTTAATTATGACTTAGTCGATTTACTATCAATATAGTAAGTTATGAATATGATTCATCTAAGATCTAGCCTTGACTCGATAACTCTATTAGTACGGGCTATCATGGTTTATCGCTGAGATCTAGCCTTGACTCGATAACTAAATTTCAATTTCAATAGTTTCATTTCACGAAACAATGTACATTTTCAACAACCCTTATAACCATAAATTTGTTCTGCACCAATTAACAGAAATTTTAATTACAAACAAGGGATACAAGTTTTATTGAAGCCGGAATAGTAACAACTAACCTCCATCCGTGATCCGACTATTAAAAAAAGTAAAAAAACGAGTCACACGACATTCGAAAAAAATAAGAGTAAGATTTGTCTCTCTCGGCAGAGCCGATATCTAGATTTACATCTATACAAGGAGCGGTTTACTGAGTAATGATGCTATAGATCGGGCCCGTTGGAGTGCATTAAAATAATTATTCCTTACTAGACGGCAGGGAGGTGGTATGGTGGTGTTGCGTATATTGTTCTTTGTTAACCGTGCTGATATATGGAGGAGAGCTCATGTTGGGCATGATACGTGAGTGGGGAGGGTTTTTAGAGCGTGATAAATTGTGGGGGATGCTATTATCTGCGCGGGGGTGTTTTTTGGGGATTGTTGTTAAGTGAGTTTGTTAACTCATTTAAATTTAAATAAGAAATGAAAAAATTTATTTGGTATTGCTTGGTAAGTCAATCTAGATATTTAAAAATTCGCATACATGATTAAAAATAATTTGTTCTATAAATGCAAAATATACGGTCAGGAAAAAAGTATTGCCTAACATAGGATAAGTAACAAATTTATTCGATAATTAAAATAAGAAAATAAAATGGAAATTTAAAAAGCCCGCCAAAACATTTTACAATTACATTACTCACCTCTAAAAGTATTTACTTTTAGTTTCACCGCTCGTATCAGGAGAAGCAGTATTCGTCTTCACAAAACAGTTTAAAGTCCTTTGTTTTTTCGATTGAGGAGTTGGCATGAGTCCAATTTTAACAGGATGTTTCTTACTACCCGATCCTAGCACCTTTTTAGACTTTTGGCTGCTCTGAGATTGAGTACTGATCCACTTATTGGAACTGGTTTGGGCGGGTCTATCCTCCGAGATGGAAGACTGCGAGGGTTTACGGAAGAGACCAAGTGTTCTGGGGGCGGGTTTTATTGGGGACGGTATTTTACATAGATTTTCCTGCGAATCAGACTTGACGTACTCCTCCGGTCCGTCAAACAATTTCTGAGAGACTGTTTTTTCTAGATTGATTGCGGAGGAATGGGAGGTCACCACGTGACTTGGTTGAGTGAAAACACTCTGGAATTTTTTCGGGGAATTCGCAGTTGAGATGGGGATGTTTTCTTTTGAATCTGACAGTTTTTTTAAGAAAGTTTTCTTAAACGGGTTATTTCCACTGTCTACCTCTTCTTTAGTAGCAAAGAAAAGACTTCTCTCTGAATTACTACAGGTTGTGTCTGCTTGAGAGTCAAGACTTCGACTTTCAGGGGATGCTTTGTTTGGTTTCTCAGGTTGGTCTCCACGAAAATAGCAGCTCTTCTGTTGAGTGGTTGCAGGAATTATCTTCCTCCGCTTGCCTAGGGTTCGGTGTGCTGTTAATCATTGAACCAGCCACGGTGAAAGAAAGAAAACTTAGAGGACAAAAGCAACGAGATGTAAAATAAATTTAAAATTTAAAACCTTTCTCCCTTTTTATATTTTCGAGTTTTTAGACTGATTTTTGGAACAACATAGCTTTCAGTTCAACTCACCTGAACCGTAGATCTTAACTAGCGTATCCTCCTCACCCTCAGTTAGCGACATATTAGTAATCTGCGGAGTGTTAGAATTCCTCTTGGCCGGCTTCAAAGTCGTGCTTGTTGGGGTATTTGAGGATGTCCGAGACTTAGTAGGAGACCAAGAAGTTAGAGAGGGCTCCGGTTTAGGTTTAAGTGGACGTTCCTGGATATATAATGATATGAATGATAGCAGTTTTAATATGTCATGTTCCGTATCAAAATATGATCCAAGTTTGGACGATACGACATCCATATATACTCACTATACAGATTATTAGAAATCTCATAATAATAAACCTTAACAGAAACAGCAGATCCCCAATCACTAGACTTGGTTCCCCAGTCCTTGCTAGCAGCTCCTGTTGTCGGAGTATCGGACCCTATCTTCCCCTTAGATTCCCTCCACTGGTCACAAGTCCGGACTACTTTAGCGTGCTGTCTGGGAAAGGAGCCCACTGATTGTCCTGTTTGAGGGTTGATATTCCCACTCGCATGCTGGATTCCTCGTTCCTTTTCAAATACTTCCCCTGGGCAGATAGAATCGGTTATTACACGGTTTAAGAGTACGCTTAGATTATAATGATAGGGATGGTTGTATGGTTTAAACTTCAAAGTAAGACCAGAATTATATATCTCTGGGATCTTTATCTCATTGACTTGTTTGATGAAATTAAAGTTACGACTTTAACAGCATCCCTCAACCTGCCTCTGAAATGTCACCAGACATCCATCACCCTTGTTTAAATCGCTACCACTTTATTCATAATATACTTAACTTTGACAGGAGAACACCAGATTCAATAATAAATCCTGACATTATTGCCAACCAGAGTTGTTCTGAAGAAGTCAGAATTTGATTCGATCTTAAATACCTCTACCGAAATTCAATTAAAATCCTAACATCAAACCTTTGATGTTTATTTGCCCCTCAAATTAAAGTGGTCCCCTTTCAAGTCGTTCCCTTTAGTTAACTTGCAGAACGCAGGACTATGAGGGATGATTTCATTCTTCGCGCTCTATCACGGCGATCAAGTTTGACGTTAGCACGGTGATTGCATTGAGAGATCTCGTACCATCTTGACAGTTTGAACTTTTAACGTTTGAATGCTAAACTACAGGAGGAGCTGTGAACTTGATTCCCAGAACATATTGCCATTATTGCAGAATATTATACCGGCTAGATGGACAAGAAGTTCCAGGATTTCCGAAACTAAGGTAGACATTCTATCAAATCCTTTATAAAAGGTATTGACTTATGTTATATGTCTTACAGTTACAAAATTCAATTTTCATAATAAGTCAAAAGTAGAGCTGGCAATTTTATAAACTAACCAAGAAAAGGAAGGAGCTGGCAATTTTATAAACTAACCAAGAAAAGGAAGGAGCTGGCAATTTTATAAACTAACCAAGAAAAGGAAGGTCTGCTACATCCAGGTGGGCAGGTAGAGGGTTAAGGGGTTTAACTGTCTGGCTGGCAGGGTCGAATACCAGGTGGTGTTTGAACGCCTGATCTGCCTGGGAGTGCCACGGTTAATTTGGAAGTTTTGCTCTAAATCTTGGAGCAATATATTATTTGGTTATAAACTATAATCGGATACTTTTACTTTTCAGACCACTTCCATTGAATAAAGAATAACTCTGAAAAAAGCTGTGTAATATCGTAAGGTAAATGCGAACGTTTCAAAGGGTACTTCTTTAGTACGATGAATTTGCGAACATAAGGTCTGCAAACAATGTAACTGAAAAACAAGCATAACTATTTCTAAATATCGTCTCACCTCTAAAAACCTCTCATAATACTCCTTTGTATCGATACTGCCAACGTTTTTCATGTTATGATTCGAGATAAAAGCTTTTATTCCCTTGTCGACGTTTTTAAACTTCCTAAACTGCTTGTGAACTGTCTTTAGCCCACATTTGGGAAGTCGGTCCAAGTAATCACATCCAGATATGATGCACATTTGTCTGAAAATAGATAGTGTTAATATAACAATATAGGAATATTATATTTATGCAAGTTAGTAATTTCATGGATTGTTCCCTGAATTGGCAGAATGCTCAAATGCTGGTATCTATCTCAAAAAGATTAATGGGACCTAATCTTAGGTGTAATGTGGTATGGCCAGTTCTGAAGAAATTTGTATCCGACTATCCAGTACCCGCATTCAAATTTGTGTACCACATACATTAGCTTGCGTTATAAGATTCCCATTGCATTGGGCCTCTACAATGTATGAATGTAAAGGCTTGATTTTCAAAAGAAAATTACCGCGGTAGCTATACACAAGCATATCATCGCCATTTAACCATATTTAGTTGCTTCCTCCGCAAAAGAAGAGCATCTTTAATATTTCAATAACTGTACCAGCTTAACCCTGTGACGGAGGTCACGTGACTATATCACACGTGATCACGTGATTACATAAAGCACGTGGGTTGCCCGGGAGATTGCTTCAAAGTGCACGTGATTAACACGGGGGTATCCCTTAGGGCTGACGAGGTGCTGCATAATTCAAATAACCGAACTGTTTTGAAATTAGGACCAAATTTGTTGGAGCCCTCATTTAAAGAGGTCAGTGAAATTGGCGAGATTTAAATTCATAAGATGCAAGGAACATCAAGCAAGTAGTTTTGAAACTGAATGGTAAGCACCGGTAAATTGTCTGCAAGTTTTAATCAGCTTGTAAAGAGTTAGTGGTTTTCACATGTTACGTTATCACTGAGGGGATGGAAGGGGATGAAAGCGGACATGCGACGTTCGATCAGACTCACGGTAAATAATAATTCAACTAGAGTAGAACTGACAAATTTCTTCTGTCTTTCCTTCTTTACGTGACCATTGTGCAGCTTCGTGATTCCAAGGTGACACAGAGCATTGTGAAAATACATATAATGCGATCGATAACATCAAATTTCTAATAAGTAGTTTGCTGCTATTGTGGGATATTTTGGCCCAGACAAGCCCAGACAAGCCCAGACAAGCCCAGACAAGCCCAGCGATCGAGTAGATGGGTTGATTAGGCTGACAATTGACTGGTAAATGGTTATATCAACGCAATTCTCTGTCTAATTCGGCTATTGTTCGCCCTTTTATTATTCTATTGTTTTCTTGTCTTAACCGCTCCAGAAAATATGTTGTCAATCCAATTCTGCGAACAAAGCTAACTGATACGTGAATTTGTGTATCAAATCAAATCAAGACTGTGACAAGATTGGTCACCAATCATTAATTTCTAGATAACCTAACAACAGTTTGAATCCATAGCAGTTAGAAATAATAGAATCGCTTGTTGCTGCTTGCAGCCACTTTTTAGATATTTTTCTTTGATCTCTCGGATTGACAAGGGTGCCACAGGAGCATCTCGTATTTAACATGCACCTCCCCCCCCCCCCCCCCCTTCACATGCACCTCCTCCTCCCCCCCCCCTTCACATGCACCCCCTCCCCCCCCCCCTTCACATGCACCTCCTCCACCAGCTGAGATGAGATGATGGGTCGGACAACCTCTGACAACAGCTCTCTATTGTCACAAGAATTGGTGCGATTTAATTGAGATGATAGCGCCTACAATCGGGATTTCATTGTATAATCTCATAAGTTTAGTGGTGATCAGATTGGGGGGCGTTTTTATAAGAGTATGCGGTGTTCACGGACCACAAATACCAACAGTGCTTTACTATGTTAGGCCCTTATATCGGCTCTGTCGAGTTTAATCTCAATCTTTACGAGTCCTTACTGAGTGTTTTTTGGATTACTACCGATATTGTTCGACCTACTCGATATTGCTTCGCTATATTATCGCTCCGTGATTACTTGTATCACCGGTCTGTGAACTGTGGATTAAAAATGGCAGTAGCTTGACGATATTTATACTCTGTAACTCGTAAACCATAACCATAGTTATGAGGTTATAGTACATCGTTAAATCTGCTGTTATCTAAGGCTGTTATCTGTAACTATATCTGATTAAAGGATCATAACACACAAAATGTGGGTTAACTCCATCTCAACACTTATTAACTTCAATTCGAAGAAACACAGATCTTTTTGACTTTTGTAGTACTAGTTAAATCCCGTACAATGTTTCCCATTTTAACGGACCAACCTGTAATGCCAACAATTTTGAAATACTCTCCCGAATTTTACAGCGACTGCCTAAAATGGCATTCGCATTCATAGAAATAGAGTTTAACACCTTCTGACAATCTCCCCACACCCTCACACAACCCCTCATAATACAGCTCATAACCCCTCATAACCCCTCATAACCCCACACAACCCCTCATAATACAGCACACAACCCCTCATAATACAGCACACAACCCCTCATAACCCCTCCAACCCCTCATAACCCCACACAACCCCTCATAATACAGCTCATAACCCCTCATAATACCCCCATAACCCCTCATAACCCCACACAACCCCTCATAATACAGCTCATAACCCCTCATAACCCCTCATAACCCCACACAACCCCTCATAATACAGCACACAACCCCTCATAATACAGCACACAACCCCTCATAACCCCACATAATACAGCACACAACCCCTCATAACCCCTCCAACCCCTCATAACCCCACACAACCCCTCATAATAAGATAATACAGCTCATAACCCCTCATAATACAGCACATAACCCCTCACAACCCCTCATAATACAGCACACAACCCCTCATAATACCCCCATAACCCCTCATAATACAGCTCATAACCCCTCATAACCCCACACAACCCCCACATAACCCCTCATAACCCCTCACACCCCCTCATAATACAGCTCACAACCCCTCATAACCCCTCACACCCCCACACAACCCCTCATAATACAGCACACAACCCCTCATAACCCCTCCAACCCCTCATAATACAGCACACAACCCCTCATAACCCCTCATAACCCCCCACACAACCCCTCATAATACAGCACACAACCCCTCATAATACAGCTCATATATAATAAACCATTTCCCCTGTAAACCCATCTGCTACCAGGAGTAACTAGTAAGTTGTACCCGCCATTATTTTCCGTGATAATTAGACCTCTCACTGCAAGGTAACTGTGTGAAACGTGTACAATACGACTTGGTAATGGCTGTTCGCAAGCCTGTCACGAGGAAGCTATTCACAATCCTGTGATTTCCACGCCGTTTATGAACCGTTTAGTTTTTGAATTGTTAGGTTCCTCGGGAATTTCCACTTTAAGGCAGCACAATTTCTAGCACGCAGTTTAAGTTTGAGGATACATTTTGTAGCTCATCTCAGAATGTCTCTGAAGATTGTGATAATAGTGACTGTGATGATGGTGAGGAGAACTAGTGGGAATATGATGACTAGTAGTAAGATTCTGGGGCTGTTTGACTCTACCATTAACAGCGAAGCTATTTTGGGGCTTTACGAACAGCAGACTGAACCGTTTGATGTTGATATGGACAAATTAGGTACTTTTAATCTCCTGTTTCGACTTTAAAAATATGGTGAAAAGCGGGTAAAAGCCAGTACAAACCCTGGCTCCATAACATGAAGACTTTGTTTTAACTTGTATGAAAAGCATTGATGACGTAGTAATTTCTGAAGAATTTTTTAAGAAATTGTGATTCCTAAGAATGGTCAATGAACTAATACATTTACATAACGTTACAAAATGTTTCAACACACAGTTTTCCATTATCAGGAGAGTTTGTAAGTAAAATAACAGCACACGAGTTTAACTTTTCCATTATCAGGAGAGTTTGTAAGTAAAATAACAGCACATGAGTTTAACTTTTCCATTATCAGGAGAGTTTGTAAGTAAAATAACAGCACACGAGTTTAACTTTTCCATTATCAGGAGAGTTTGTAAGTAAAATAACGGCACACGAGTTTAAAGGAGCCCTAGCAGCTCTGGAGACTCTACAGAGTGAAGCTAAGAAGAGGTACAGTGAGCACGTGTGGGACAGTAACATGACTAACTGGTACTATGATGTGTTCAGTAACCCTCTCCAGGATAATGAGGGTAACAGGTGTGTGGGTGGGTGGTACATTTCACTTTATAAAGCATGTAAATATATGCATATTCAAACGTTGCTTTAACAACTATTTTTACAAATTACCAGTGACGGGGATCAACATTCGAAATGTATGGAAGTGAGTTTACGATACAATCCACGACAATTGAAGCTGCATAAACACAGTGGAGAGTATGATTGTAACTCACTAAGATAACTGCCAGGATAGAAACACGCCTGTTTAGCTCACTAAGATAACTCTCAGGATAGCAACACGCCACATGCCGGATAAGTACAAAGGTAACGTGAGTCTAGCTGCTTCAGTCATCAGCATTCCTTTAGACGTGTATAATAACTGGACCGATGTACGGTGAGTTGGAACCCGAACAAAAGATTATGATTATTATCGTTCTTTAAAAACCCACTAAGGGCTTAGGGTAATATAATAAATATTTTTTAGCTACACTCCAAGGACCAGAGATGATGCAAAATACATCATTAATTGGCTGTTCGTGTTCAAATTGTAACACCGTTACAAACATCAGGAACACGATACAATGGAGCAGCAAGATGGAGGAGGTGTTTATCAGGAACTACCAAAACCACTCAGACTAATTGTAACACCGTTACAGGAACACGATACAATGGAGCAATAAGATGGAGGACGTGTTTATCAGGAACTACCAGAACCACTCAGACTAATTGTAACACCGTTACAGGAACACAATACAATGGAGCAATAAGATGGAGGAGGTGTTTATCAGGAACTACCAGAACCACTCAGACTAATTGTAACACCGTTACAGGAACACAATACAATGGAGCAGCAAGATGGAGGAGGTGTTTATCAGGAACTACCAGAACCACTCAGACTAATTGTAACACCGTTACAGGAACACAATACAATGGAGCAATAAGATGGAGGAAGTGTTTATCAGGAACTACCAGAACCACTCAGACTAATTGTAACACCG